TCACAATATACCAAATTTGAAGTTAGATGCCAATGATCGATGGTTGTCAAAGAATATCCGGCAATTCGAGAATGCCAACTTCTCCATGAGATCCAAAATCCACTCTTATGAACTGCTGCGCTCATCAGGCTCTGATAAAGACTTGTTGAAAAATAGAGGAAAAGTTGTCCAAGTTTCAAAGTGAGAATAGCAAGCAACTAATGAACCAGAAACCTATTGATCCCCTTGGGAGCTTTTTGAAGGTTTGTGCAGTTTGATTGCTATAACAAGTTTGAAGTCTGTAGAAAAATAAGAAATAGAGACCTCAAACTCTGCAAATGTGATATGTACTCTTAGTTTTGACCGTAGTGAGGATTATATTGCCACTGCTGGCATATCGAAGAGAATCAAGATTTTCGAATTGATGCATTTATGAATGACTATTGATACCCACTATCCTGCCATCGAGATATCAAACAAGTCAAAGATTAGCTGTGTTTCCTGGAACAACTACATAAAGATGTGTCGTCCAGTTAAATACCTGTTCCAACTATGTGAATGTTTATTAAATAAAGCATTCAGGTTTTATCCCACCAACATTATATATAGTGATAAATATAGAAGTATGTCCATCATTGCTTTGGTACTATCCAGTAGAGAGGTAAATTATTTTTCATGATCAACGTCAAGCTATCCTTTGTGCATTTTATTGAAGTCCTTACCACTTCAAATTTGGGAATTATTTGCCTAGATTCTGAATTATATTGTTCTATTGCATCAAAGAGTTATTGCAACTATCGAAGTTCTCTCCAAACGTTTGATTTGTCTTCTGATTTGTGTTGGCTTATGGTGTTTTTATTATTGAATTAAGGCTGTATCTATGTACTTAAGTGATAAAATGGTGTCCTATGGTACAGACATGGGACGCAGGAACTGGTCAAGGACTCTGTCAATACGATGAACACTAAAAGAGGGCACGGTCTGTCAACTTTTCTCAGCTGACCCGACAAAGTTTGCCAGTGGAAGTGATGAATGCTCTGTGAAGCTTGGAGCATTAATGAGGTATGGTTTCCTGCCTCACTTATCATGTAGCTGTAAATGATTTGGTGTTTTTCACAAATCAGATACACCCATAAATCACCTACGTGCTTGCTATTCATATTGTGTTTTGGAGCATTAACCTGTATGTTTTCAGCAAAGCTTAGAAGAAAAAATTGAACGAAATTATTGCAGAAAATTTCACTTGGAACCATATGGAGCCATGCAAATGTCTGCTGTGTTCAGTTCTCGAGTTTCTCTCCTCATCTGTTGGATCTCAACAAAACTTACTCGGACAGATCGCCCTCCACCACTTGTGGCTTAACCTTTACAGGCCATAAAAATGAGAAGGTTTGATACTTTTTTCTATTTCCGTTAAAATTGAGCATCTGCCATTGTTTTTTACCGATAACCATTTGTTTTCTGCATGGACAGAACTTTGTGGGTTTGTCTGTATTGGATGGATATATAGCATGCGGTTCAGAAACGAACGAGGTAAATATAGTTTAATCGGAAATGAAGTGCTGAAATCTGTTGCTCTAGTCTGGATTTCTTTATTCTTATTGTTTTTTATCATTGACAATACACATGACTTACATGCGTGCAATTCTGAGCCAACACTAAACTGATCCAAATCATTTTTTCTTTCTTGTACTTTTGAAGGTTTATAGTTATTATAGATCTCTGTCAATGCCAATCACTTCCTATTAGTTTGGTTCTGTTGATCCTATTTCTGGGCATCAAAACACAGACGAAGATGGACAGTTTGTTTCTAGTGTCTGTTGGAGACAAAAATCAAACATGCTTGCTGCTGCCAATTCAACTGGATGTATAGAATTATTGAAACTAGTGTGATGAAAGCGTTTCCCCAGATTAGCTCTGCTCTAACCTGTAATTAGGTTGCCCATCCTGAAGATAGATTGTATTCACTTTGAGAAACCCATGGTAGCAGATTGCTAAGGCTGAAGGGTGAAAATGAGAGCCAAAACTCCACTAACTCTGTTTCTGCCTTCAATGAGTGTGCCTATGAACTGAGTATGTTTATGCATGACTGTTGTGTAATCAGGCGCTAAACCCTCAGAATTGGTGGTTAAAGACGAAGATGACATTACTCCAAGTTAATGGTCGACTGCCCCTTGTGAACAGTTAATGGCAACATTGATGAAGTGTTCAGGCTTTCTTCGGGTGCAGTAGTTCATTAGCAGAAACATTACTGATAGACATAGTAGTAGAAGAAGGTGTCCTCCAAGAATTTCCCGTTTAAAAAATATTGAAGCCGTCAAGATGTGAGTGCTTCGTAAGAATTAAAGTGGCATGCAACTGTAAGTTTTGTGGCAAGGTATTTTCACAAGTATTTTGCTTCTTGATTTGTAGATAATTTTCTTTATGATCAATTCAATAAAGTTTCTCGCTGTTGCCGACAATATAAAACTAGCCTTTCTGATCGAGATGTAGTCTCTAGATTTTCCATATGAATTGGAAGTCCTTTAAGATTTAACTTTTATATATGTTTCTATTTGCTGTCTATAGTATGACCATTAGAAATTATTATGCAGTTTGTATGTATTTAATAGCACCATTAGGATTTGATTCTTTTACTTGCAAGAATAACAATATAGATCAATCAAGTACAATATAGCACCGTTAGGATTGATTTTTTTCCTTCTTATGGATAAGATGATCAAGCCTCTGATTGCATGGAAACCAGAACAACAATATAGATCAATCTGAGTACAATTATTATGTAACTAAAGGTACAAAACAAAATTGAACAGCTTGTGAACTGGCTCAAAAAATGTGTATGCATTTTGTTGAGCATTACCGAATTGCTTCTGCTAAAGTTCTAGCAAAAAAATGCTATATATTTCATATATCAAATCCTATGTCAGTTCAGCACAATGCTAAACTTACAGGTGCAAGGTGTCAGCCACTCCAAACTTTGAAATCTTGATAAGCTCTGAGTATTGTTCTTTGGATTGGCTGCTTTGAATACTACCTTTGCCACTCTGTTTCTTCTTAGGTTGGATTTTTGTGATTATTGATCTGGCAAAGAATTCCATCACTGTAAATTAGATCGAACTTGTTTCTGTGTCTAAGAAATCAACCTGTTGAAAAGACTAGGTGATGAGCACAGAATCAGGGACATGCTGGATTTTGTTCTCCGTATTCTGGGACTCATTAAGAGCTGGATTTCCGAACTCTTTGTGTCTGGAACTCACTATGAGATGGTTTTCTGAATTTGTTATGAAACTGCGGACACACTGAATCGTTGGAGGTGTTGATGATCTTCCTTTAGGTGTCACTGGAAAAGAAGAAGCGGGTTGTCAGCATGAATTGCAATGTTTAATTTTTGACACGAAACAATAATTTTGTGTGTGCCTTATTATTTCAAGAGGAAAAGCATGGAAAATAAAGTTCATGGGTGTGATCAATTACCTGGTTGTTTTGCTTTATCTGGAGATTTCTTCACTTTCAAAATTGGTTCCAGTTTCATCTGAGCCATGACAATCAAATTAAATGTGAAATCAAGATACCCAAACGCCATTGATATATGTGTGTGTGTGTGTGTGTGTCTTCAGAACACAAGAAAAGGCAACATGATAACTGTCATAATAGAAGCTGCAGAAAAAAACATGAACTTTTATTATCACAATTGGAACTTGGCATTAAAGACAACGGAAGCTTCATATCCGGTACAACTTCCATTATTTCTATCCCAAGGGTGAACTATACAAGAAGCTTAAGTGCTGTCATAATAAACGCTTAAAAAAATAGAAACTTCCGCTATTACAAAATATGCTCAAAAGGGTTTCAGCCATAGCATCTAATGGGGTCAGTGCAACCTTTATCAGCGGATTGTTTAGCCCCAAAACGTCCACCTTTCTCCAAGTATTGTTGATGGTACTCTTCTGCCCTATAAAACCTTTTCGCCGGGAGAATTTCCGTCACAATTTTCTTATCTTTCAACTCTGATTGCTTGGCCTCCATTGACTACCTTGCCAAACGAGCCTGGTTCTCGTTGTAGTAGTATATCCCAGATCTATACTGAGCTCCCACATTTCCACCCTAACAAAAAGTTAAAAAGTACCCGATGAGGAAAAGGACGTACATCTAGTGTGCAACATAAGAAAGAATGGACGAACCTGCCGATTGAGAGTGGTTGGATCGTGGCGTTCCCAGAAAACGGAGAGGAGATTGCTGTAAGTGCAGATTTCAGGGTCGAACTGGATCCGAACCACCTCGACGTGGTTGGTAGAACCGGTGCATACCAGCTTGTAATTGGGGTCGTGTGTATGACCCTGTGAGTAGCCAGCCTCTGTTTTGGACACCTTCGACTCGCTGAAACGCCAACTCTACTCCCCAGAAACACCCGGCTCCGAACTGGGCAAACTCGTGAGCTGGGTTACTTGGGTTGTCCTCGTCGGCGTCGAAAGCAGGGTTGTTGTCGCTGCTGCCGGCGGTAGCGGCCATTGTTCAGTTCCCTAACAAACTTCTGCAAATACAATACTAAGGAAACTAATCACAGTCCTACGTGTTTTATGCGAGTATCGTTCGACTTTTAAAAGAATCAACTAAAACCTATTGCCGGCCAAATTCGACGCTACTAACCTTTATAGGAAAATCAAATAATATAAATGATATTTTTTATTAAACATATAATTTAATTATAAATATAATAAATGAAATGGAAATTCCAAGTATGTATATAACATTGTTAATTTTATAAGAAAATATGTTAAATATTTCTCTAAAAATATTACATATTATATATTTATTTTCATTTAAAAAGTAATTAATAAATGATAAAACATAATGATCAGGAGAATTGTTTGTTAAGCAAAAAAGAAATTCGTGTTAATTATTATAAAATATTTTCATAAATTGCTTAAGTTAGCATTTATTATCATCAAAAACAGGCTGGCGCATATTATATCAGTACTAATCACGGCTACATAATAAATGCCAAAGGCGTCACTTATCATTCTGTTTGTTTCTCTTTCTAAAAGCGGCTGGCGCCGGGCTTCTTTTTTGCCCTTTCCGATCTAAACCCTAGTTACAGGAGAAAAGAAAGAGACAGAACAAATGCCGAGGGAATCATAACACTCCAGTGGGACAATGCGGGAACCAGATCGGAATGGAGTTTTGGAACAGCTTTGCCTCGAACACGGCATCAGCAAAGAAGGCATCCTTGAAGATTTCGCTACCCAGGTTCTCTTAATTGTTACTTTTTTTGCATTTTAAAGCTTCACTTTCCAGTTAATTATGGAAACTCACGTTGATTTTATTTAATTGCAGTTTTGTTAAATAATAAATGCCTATATGATTTGAAAAGTACTTGCTAATTAAGTAGTCAGATTAGGCCTTAAAGTCTCCATTAGTGATAGTGATAGTTTAACTCATAAGTTGTTGATGTTGAGATGATTTATGCGAGACATAAGTGATTCACTCAGTTCTTGCTGTTAAACATCAGTGTCTCTCTGTTTTTAATTTTCTCCGCATGGATGATGCAGGGAGGTGATAGGAAAGATGTCTTCTTCTACCAAGCGGACGATCAACATTATATTCCACGTGCTTTACACATAGATTTGGAACCTAGGGTAATTATGGAATTCAAAAAAGTGAATTCAAAAATCTCTACAATCACCGAAAACATATTTGTTTCTGATCATGGTGGAGGTGCTGGAAACACTGGGCCAGTGGATATCATCAGGTGGTTGTATAAATCATAGAGGCTTGGACCTTTACACTTTTGTAGATCCTATTCGAATAGTTTTCAAGTAACATTAAGAAATAATTATGGTCTTCTGCACATTATTCTAATTAACATGTCCATATCATTGTGTTGTTAGAAATATGATTGCGATTTCAAGTAACTGTAATTGTTATTGACGGCAGAATAGAATCAATAGATATATGCTTTCATGAGATGTTATCAGCTTTTCTTTTTTTTAATTCTTGATTCATTTTATCTTATTTTTATAGATCGGATATATTGCAAACTTTTATCGAAAATTCTGACACGAGTCACACTACTTGTATATCATTCAACTGCTGTTAATAATCTTTTACCAAAATCCAGTCCCATGATCTTGGTTTTCAAGGCGATTTTCCCAAAAAAAATCATCCCATATCATTTTTTTTCTTTATCAGATACCGTTCAGATTATATTTTTCGATATAACACCCTTTTCAGAAAGGCACGTCCCTGCAACGCGTTTTACGTTGATTTGGCGTCACGTGGGGTAAGACACGCCCCATGCAGCGCGCCTTATGCTGAGTTGGATACATGTGGATAAAGCGCAGCCCTTGGGGCGCGCCTTACGCCACGTAGGGCTATAGCGCGGTGCAAGGGCCGCGCCTTTGCTTTAATTCTGACACGCGTCAGAAAGGCCCACCCCCCGTAGCGCGCCTTAGATTTAATTACCTAATTACCCCGATCGTTCCCATCCCCTCCCTATAAATACATCCATTCTCAATCACTTTCATCACACCAAATCCTCTCAACTTCTCTCAAATACTTTTATATTCTCTTATAACTGTTTAAGGTATATTTTATTATATTTAGTATTTTGTTAATAATTTATTTAACTATTTAAATATTTTATTTAATTAATTTTTTTTATAGATATAAAATGGAAGGCAGTGTACTTCGCTTGGATGAAAATCATATATCTCGACATTTTGCTGATACGGTAACATTTTAACGTTTTAATTTAAATTATTAGTAATAATTTATTTAATTATTTAATGCATGATTATTAGTTTAAAATTATCTTTGTAATTATTTATATTTAGGAGATATACCGTATATTAGATTATTTTATTATGACCTTAAGTTAGCGATATCTACCCGTGTCTGGCCATATTTAGCAGAGGCTGAATTCGGTCACATAGTAGATAGAAGGTCACTGTAAGATAGAATCAAGCCTTATTTCTGCCTTAGTGGAGCGTGGAGGCCGAGACCCACACATTTCATCTTCAGTGCGGAGAGTGCACGATTACGCTTGAGGAAATTTCTATGCACTTGGGGCTTCCGTGGATAGAGATGTGATATCAGGGTGGTTCACAGTTCATGTACTACTTGTGCTGGATTATCTAGGACGTATCACGGAAAATTTTAACGGTGGTCGGATACCGTTAAATTGGTTAGATGCCAATTTTCGGGAGTTGAGCGAGGACACCTATGATAATGAAGTTAAAATGTATGCACGGACATGCATACTGCAGCTGATAGGAGGGTTACTGATGCCAGACAAATCGCGCAACCAAGTTCACTGTATGTGGTTGCAACTCTTGGCGATTTTCATCTGGCCAAATTACTCAGTTGGGACTCGACAGTTTTGGCTTTTCTGTATAGGGAGATGTGTCGAGCGTGACTACAGTAAAAATGCTATAGCGATATCTCCTTCTGCTGCAGCCTTGGGCATGGTATTATTTGCCATTTTTTATGTCCCGTTGTGAAAAACCTATTCGTATTTCCACTACTATTGAGGTAATTATAAAACCGATTTCGTATATTAATCATTTTACAATGTAAATAATTTTTTTTTCCTTGAACAGGTGGTCTACTGACAGGAAAAATCATCAGGAGCTACCTGATGATTTAGAAAAAAATTAGGGTGTTAATCGATCAGAAGGCTAGAGATACATGATGATAATAACTCACTATTATTTATTGATGAGTAATATTCATATTTATTGATAAATAATAGTGAGTTATTATCATCAGGTATCTCCAGCCTTCTGATCGATTAGCACCCTAATTTTTTCTAAATCATTAGGTAGCTCCTGATGATTTTTCCTGTTAGTAGACCACCTATTCAAGAAAAAAAATTATTATACACTGTATAAAATGATTAATATACGAAATCAGTTTTATAATTATCTTAATAGTAGCGGAAATATGAATGGGTTCTTCACAACGGGACATAAAAATGGCAATCAATACCATGCCCAAGACTGCAGCAGAAGGAGATATCCACCGATAGCATTTTTCTTGTAGTCAGTCGCTCGACACATATCCCTCTACAAAAAAGTCAAAACTGCTGAGCCCCAACTGAGTGATTCGGCCAGATGAAAGTTGTCAAGATGTTGCAACCACATACAGTGAATTTGGTTGTGCGATTTGTCTGGCATCAATAACCATCCTATCAGCTGCAGTATGCATGCCCGTGCATACATTTTAACTTCATCATCAGAGGCGTCCTCGCTCAACTCCCAAAAATTGGCATCTAACCAATTTAACGGTATCTGACCACCGTTAAAATTTTCCAGGACACGTCCTAGATAATTTTGGCACAATGTAGTCCAGGAACCATGAGCCACCCCTGATATCACATCTCCATCCACCGGGAGCCCCAAGTGCATAGAAACATCCTCAAGTGTAATCGTGCACTCTCCGTACGAAAAATGGAATGTGTGGGTCTTCGGCCTCCACCGCTCCACTAAGGCAGAAATAAGGTCTAGTTCTGTTGAGTTAATCGATTGACGGAATCGGCCAAGAGAGGGGTGAATTGGCAATAAAAATTTTGGTGGAAGTTTTTGCAGAAAATTGAAAGGAATTGCACAGCGATTTAGAGTGGTTCGACTTTCTCAACCAAAGTCTACGTCAACTACCTTAGCTATCCACACTAAGGATTTTCCACAAATTCACTAATTTGTCTTTCTTTTGAGGACAAAGAGTAACCTTACAAACCCTTAAGAATTATACCCCAAATTCTTGAGAACACTCTCTCCCAAAAAGAACAATACAAATTTGCAAACTTACAAGGAAATCCTCACAAGGTAGATTGTTTGCACAATTCTAGAACAAAGAAAAAAACACTCAAAAATGAATACAATTGAGCACAATAAGTGTTCTTGAAAGCAAAATGAATATTGAATGAATAGGCTTGAATTGCTCAAACTTGTGGTTTGATGCTTTCTCTTTGATTCTCTATTGATTCTAGTTGCTTGATGTTTCTTGTTGTTGATCAATGGCTTCTAAGCTTGCTTAAATACACCTTGAATCACTTCTAAACGTTGGGGATGATTAATGAAGATAATATAGCCGTTTTAGTGTGAAATCAATTAATAAAACAACTTGGAGCGTGGGTGGAATCGGTTCCCTAAGTGTAAAATTCAAATATTTCGACCGTTGAACAGTGGGGGGAATCGGTACCCCCTGAGGGAAATCGGTTCCCTCCGAGCATACTGGAATTCTCAGAGCCAAACCATTCAGGGGGAATTGGTTCCCCCTTGGGGGGAATCGGTTCCGACTGAGCAATCTGGAATTTTTGGCTTTGAAACTGTTGAAAACATTTTGATATTTCGATATAACAAATTAAGTTAAATGTATTTTAAGATTTTCCAAAAAGATTTTTTAAGTATATTCGATATAATTATTCGAATATCAAAACATTACTCTAAATCTTTCAAATATAATTTTTAATCCTTACTCAAGTGTAAAATTAAGTTTTAATCTTAAAACAATTTCAAAATAATTTTATAAAGTATTTCGAACCGTTTCAAAGTCAAAAATTCCAGATTGCTCAGAGGGAACCGATTCCCCCCTAAGGGGGTACCGATTCCCCCCTGAATGGTTTGGCTCCAAGAATTACAGTATGCTCGGAGGGAAACGATTACCCCCCAGGGGGTACCGATTCCCCCCACTGTTCAACGTTCGAAATATTTGAATTTTACACTTAGGGAACCGATTCCCCCCACGCTCCAAGTTGTTTTATTAATTGATTTCACACTAAAACGGATATATTATCTTCACTAATCATCCCCAACGTTCAGAAGTGATTCAAGGTGTATTTAAGCAAGCTTAGAAGCCATTGATCAATAACAATAAACAATAAGCAACTAGAATCAAAGAGAAAGCATCAAACTTCAAGTTTGAGCATTTCAAGCCTATTTTTCATTCAATATTCATTTTGCTTTCAAGAACACTTATTGTGCTCAATTGTATTCATTCTTGAGTGTTCTTTTTTTGTTCTAGAATTGTGCAAACAATTTACCTTGTGAGGATTTCCTTGTAAGTTTGCAAATTTGTATTGTTCTCTTTGGGAGAGAGTGTTCTCAAGAATTTGGGGTATAATTGTTGAGAGTTTGTAAGGTTACTCTTTGTCCTCAAAAGAAAGACAAATTAGTGAATTTGTGGAAAATCCTTAGTGTGGATAGCTAAGGTAGTGGACGTAGACTTTGGTTGAGAAAGTCGAACCACTCTAAATCGCTGTGCAAATTTCTTTCAATTTTCTGCTAAAGCTTCTACTAAAATTTTAATTGCCAATTCACCCCCCTCTTGTCCATATTCGTCAATCGATTAACTCAACAATTGGCATCAGAGCCTAACTCATTTGAAAGTTTAATCGCCTCTTGAGTCGATTCGGGAAGAGTTACATCGATAATCAAAGTCATCAATGGCCTCTACTTCAAACTTCGACTCCGGTCTCGATTCGATGCCCGTCAACAAGCCTCCTTTCTTCAATAGGGCTAATTATGCCTATTGGAAAAATAGGATGATGTACTTCATTCAAGCAAGTGACATGGGAGCATAGAATGTCGTAGAAGAAGGATACTTCAAGCCTCTCACTCATCCAAGATTATGGAGTGAAAGAGAGAAAAATGTTCCAGCTCAACTCCAAAGCCATCCATATCATATTTTGTGTTCTTGGACTAGATGAATACGGAAGAGTTTCATCTTGTACAACCGCCAAAGAAATATAGGACAAACTTCAAGTCACTCATGAAGGTACCGATGAGGTAAAGAAATCTAAAATTAGTATTCTAACGCATAGCTATGAAAATTTCAGGATGAAACCAAATGAAGATATCAAAGCTATGACGATAGATTCTCAACGATTGTCAATGGTCT